TCAAATTCATGAAAAAGATTTATATTCGATCTCATAATGTTAGGAGTTTTCTCAACGAGTGATCGATTATTTTTGCTATTAATTTCAGAGAATATTGTATTTATAGAATATTGAATGCTCATAATATTCTTAGCTCACTCTATATGTAATTAGAGATAAATTTAAAATATTAGTTGTGTATCTTTTGTTTTATTAAAAATTGAAGAAACAACTTGGAAAAACTAAAAAGCATTAATTTTACGTATTGTGATTGCTTATGTGAGAAACATATGTCTGTGATGTGCCATTCAGTAAAATTGTACGTCTGATTATGATTATGTCGGTTAAATTGAAAAGTTTTGATTTTTCCATAACTTTTAACAATGCTTCTAAAAGGTTATGCTCAAATTAGTATATATAGCTAAATTGTAACTCCACATTTATTTACATATTTATATATTGAGTTATTTTTTTGGGGAAAATTAAGGGCAAAGCCCAATTTTCATTGACTGAGGAAAACTAATTACATGTTTAAGATTGAAGAAAATAAAAAATAAAATTGTGGAACATAACCACTAAAAGAGGCTAAAAAAGAGCTCATCAATAAGGTGCAAAAAAGGTTACACATGTCAAATTGGAATTAAATTAAAGAGAAAGAAGCAGGCCAAAAGCATAACAAAAGATCATCCGAATAAACAACAAGGCTAAAAAAGCAAGGGATTGCATCTATCAAGCCCAAAATTGTTCCCCGGTTGCTGGAATTGCCATCAATAAATAGTTGCATAGATCCTCCATCATGGGAAACAAAGAATGCAATCCATTCATCATGGTCCCCCTAGTCGTAAGGCTCAAGTCCATGACTTAACCACGCATGCAACAAGAGTATACCAACAGAGCAGGCGAACGAGACCAAATGATCCAAAAAAGCCAAGCAGCCCACCCGAAGAATAGAATCCCAAAACTACAACATAAGCATAAATTCATACCATTTTTCAATATGGATAGTTTAAGACTAACAACCTTTTTAATGTTAACAAGAACAGTAGCATGGCTCTTAAAACACTTCACAAATTTCCTTTCATTCCTCTCCCTCCAAATGAAATAGACAGCAGTGCCTAGAGCAAAAAAATAGGGAAAAAGAATCTACAAAGATGTATTTTGCCAAGGCTCTCAAACTCCAATGAGAAAGATTTGAGAAGCAAAAGAATAAAAAGGGTAAATATGGTAAAAGGTAGGGCAAGTCTCATAGGCCTAGTCTTGGGAAGAATCAATGCGCTTTCTATTTAGAGACTAGTCATTGGAAGAAATATTGTTCAATATTGAAGGAAAAGAGAAAGAGAATTTTCACTGAGGCAAAGACAAACCTTAGTGTGGAAGAGTGGTATGAATGTTCTGATGTATCACTATTTGTTATTTATTAGAGCTTTGTTTATAGATGATTTATACTAGATTTTGGATACTGGTGCTACTTATCATACTTTTCCCATAAGAGAGCAATTTTGTACCTACAAGGAGCTGATAGTGGTGTAGTGACCATTGGAAATGATCAGCTAGTCATACTATTGGTGTGGGGAGCATCTTCATCAGAATATATAATGGTATTGTGAGAGAGCTGGCTGTAGTAAGACATGTTCCAGATATCAAGAAGATTTTTTTATCTATTAAGGCCTTAGATACTAAGGAATTCAATGTATCCATTGAGGCAGGAGCGCTAATTTTTTAAGGTTATTCGTCAGCATAACATTTACTATCTTCACGGAGGTTGAAATTCCTAATCACTATAATGAAGTAGTAGACAATTAGATGGTAATATATGGAAGAGGATTATTGATGAAGAGATGGATGCAAATGGGTGTAAGCTTCCCCCAAGAAGAAAAGCTATTGGGTAAAAATGGGTGTACGCAAAGAAAAAATGATCTCATGGAGCTGATGTGCGGCATAAGGCTAGGTTGGTGGCAAAAGATTTTATGTAACAAGAAGGGATTGATTGTGATGAGATGTTCTTCCCCAATGATTAAAAATCTCTTTATCTGTGTTCTCTTAGCACTTGTTGCACACTATGGTCTAATTCTGGAGTAGCTCGATGTGAAAACTGCATTCTTACATAGGTAATCGCAAGAAGAGATCCACATGTTATAGCCACATGGATTTAGAACTTTAAAAGACTTGGTTTACAGATTAGACAAGTCTTTATATGGGTTGAAGAAATCACCACGACAGTAGTACAAGACCCATCAATGATTGTCTACTTATTTTGAAGTACTACACTTGGCTTGATCCTTGTGAGAGGGGGATACATAGGCAACCAACCTACTGCAGTCATTATGATATTGGAGCCTAATTTATCATCTTCTGCTTTCTTAAGTGAAAGATGAGATGAAGATTGTTGATTTAAAAATTTTTCCAAATCTAAATAAGCTTGGATTAGGAAAGCATTTAGTGTCTAATTAATGAATTAATTAGGAGATCTTATTTGGTCTTTGATTTGATCCAATTATGGCATTGATTTGATTTTTAATAGTGTGACATTAATTATATTTTTCTTAATTATTTTGTCTCAAATCTATAAATTAAGGGTTTGATGGCTGTTGTATATGAGAGCTAGAGATAGCCAATTATGCATTTATTTTCTCCAATATAGTGAAATCATCCTCCCCTCCCTGCAGATGTAGGCAATTCTTCATTGAATCGCGTAAATCGCCATGTTCTTTGTGTTGACTGTGCTTTGATTCTAATTTTGTTTCCGCTGTTTGCACAACAATATCATCTCTCCATGCACCCCCTACTCATGCTCTTGCACATTACCAACGCCGCATTCGTACTTGCTTCCTCATCATCAATGCTTGTGGAAGAGTAGCTTATGACCACAACCACACACGGCAATCTCATCAACAATCTCCCATTCAATGAGAACCACAAGTCTAAGATCTATCATCTCCATCATTAATATATGTATATGCCCTAATTGATTTATTTTATAGTACATCAAATGCTAAAAGACAATTTAAATATTCAAGTAATCCAAATACTTGCTAAGAAATAACCCCTAAATAGAAATAGAAATGCTATATTAAAAAAAAAAACATACAAATCTATACCATATAATTGATTAGGCAAATTAATATAAGATTGAAATGAGAGAGAGAGAGAGAGAGAGAGAGAGAGAATAACACTACTCGATTCGAAATGCAAACACTTCAATCATCATTCAAATACGTAGGAATTTCAAAGCAGGTCATGTGATTGCACATTCGCACATTTATAAAGCATTTATTTGTGGTGTACATTGGACAATGACGTTGCTTGCTCTTAATCAAACAAAGCTCTGCTTGCTCGTTTAGACAAAAATTGTAATATAATAAAATATAAACCACTTTTTCTTCAGAGCATTTTTAGGATAAAACATAATGATACAACATAGATAAAATATAATATTCTTCTTTACAAAAACACTTTTTCATTAGACTATTTTTGTAATTTATTAAGTAACACAGCTATATTTATGTATAATTTTTTAATAGATTAGTGTTATTTCAAAAATAATCATATATTCATTTACATTAACATCAATTATCTTCTACTAATCACCTTCTTAATTTTTCTTTAATTTTCTTCTATGAATTACACAAACATTCATATTAATAAGATATTTTATGAAATTTTATTCAGGAAATGACAAAAAAAATGGTTCACAAATGAGTAATTAGTTATATAATCTTTTTTTAAGCTAATTAAATGTAAATTCACACACATCATATTTACAAATTTTGAACTCAAAATTTTTTGATTAATAGTTAAAACACTCAACTAACAAATTAAAATGAGCTGAAGCTCTATAATCATTTTTCCGATATATATATATATATTATAAATGTTAAAAAGATTTAGATAAGATTTTTTATAATTATCATATTCTAACGGATGTAATTCTAAGGAATTATTTTTTATCATAAAATTTTGAAAAATAAAAAAAAGTAGACAAGTAGATATTTAAGAGTAATTAAAAAATAAAATTATGAAAATAATTATCTCAAATAGATATATAATGTCCTGAATTTTACAGTCTTTTCTTAACCGGATAATTTTGTGTTAATTTGACAATAGTGCATTGATATAATTGCTTAATGATAATTAGTTGCTGAGTAAAATGCAAGGAAATTATCAACTAATTTTTTCATAATATCGAATAAGAAATATAAGAACTCTTGAAATATATATATATAAAAAAATCATCATCAACCAAAATAATAATAATAAAAATAAACTTTATGATAGTTAAAAATATTGCAAAGGAAATTGTTGAGAATATTATGAGAAAATTGAATTTACTTTGAGAATAAAATCATATAAATATTTAACATATAATAATAATATCAAAATAAATCAAATAGCTTCAAAGTCCAACATCACGATGCAATTTTTGTTCTCATATTTGTAATTTATTGAACATTATTTACAAATATATATTAACAGTAATAATAATTTATCTGCAACTGTTCTGAACCACAATTCCGTCCAGCTAATTCTTCAGCCTTTTCGGCGGCGGTCAACAGCACATCAGTTTCACTGCGGCTGCTCTTTATCGTCTCCATCTCAATTTCCACCCTATCAATATTCCCATACTCCGTCTGGATCTATAACTCCAATAGTATACACCACAACTCTCTCTCTCTCTCTCTCTCTCTCTCTCTCTCTCTAAATGATTAAGTGCAGATGCTGTCTAGAGGCTAATCAAGATGAACCACATTATCAATATACTGTATACCATCACTATGTATCGCTGTGTATCGGCTAATGCAGCGTATCCTGATTGATCTCTAGACCGACACGAAATAATTTCTCCTCTCTCTCAGTGGAAATTATTACATGCAGATGCCATCTGGAAGCTAATCAAGATGCGTCAAGACATCAATAAACTTTATACCTTCACTGTGTACTGTTATGTATTGAATAAAGTGATGTGTTATGATTGACCTCCGGACCGACAGGAAGTTATTTCTCTCTTTCTCCTCTCTCTCTCTTCCCCCTCTTATAAAGCTACATTTCCACTCATCTTCTTCAAAATCCAATCTTTTGCCAGATCTACCTCTCCAAAAATGTCAAATTTCCCCTTCTCCCCGTCGGCATCCACTGCAGCGCTCCTTCTCCTCTTCTTCCTCTCCATCTCCATGCCGACCCCCATTTCTTCCAACAATCTTACTACTAGACGAAACCTGCATTCCTTCAACAGTAAAGAAGATCTCGACGACTCTCCCATTCCGAAATCGATATCCCCTACTAAGAAGAAACCCGTCTTAGATTTCCCAGAACCAAAGAACAAAACCAAATCCTTCAAGCCCAAAGCAACAAATTCCACTTCTTCCTCCTCATCCAAGATCAGCATAATTCTCTCAGTCGACACCACCACTCCCACCAAATCCAAGCTTAACAAAACCGTCACCATTTCCCCTGCCGTCACCAAGAACAAGCCCAATAAAATCTCCATCGCCGGCGAACTCAGCGCCATCTCCATTAGCAAGTTCAAGCTCAATAAAACCAGCAGCGCCGCGAAGAAGAACGTCACTAAATCCAATCTCAACAAAATCGCCCTCCTCAAATCCAATTCCACCAAAACACAGCAATTTAAATCTCTAAATCCTACCCCCAAAATCCAGAAAAAGCTCGATGCCAAAGATCCGCCCCCTTCTAAACCCCAATCCAATACCAAATTGAAGCCACTGGCTTCCCCGGAGAACTGGCTCGACGATGCCGACAGCACTGGCGCCGGCGAAGACGGAGATGACTTGATCTCCGACTTCCGCGATCTCCCCTCTCGCCTCCACTCCACCCTCTTCCCCGACCTCGAGAAGCTCTCGACCACTTCGAAGCTCTACCTCTCCAAAACGCACCGCGAGATCGCCGCCGGCGTAAAACCATTTGTCGGAAACAAATACGCCCCTTCGATCGCCTCCGCCACGTCCTCGGCCCTCCTCCTCCTTCCCCTGCTTTTAGTCACCGCCCTCTTCCGTCACCTCCTCCGCACCGGCAGCTCCGCCTCCCTCCACCGCGCCCTTCTGTTCGTCCAGGCTTACCTCGCCATCTACTTCGCCACGCTCTCGCTCACCGCCGTCATGACGGGACTCGAGCCTCTCCGGTTTTTCTACGCCGCATCCCCGGCAGCTTACGCGTGGACACAGGCGGTTCAGACGTTTGGCTACGTGGTGTACCTCGTCGCGCAGCTAATCGCACTGGTAGTCGCGTTCTCCGCCGGCGAGGAGGAGCACAAGACGGGGAAAATGGTGGGCCTGGCTCAGATGCTACTGGGTTTATCAGTGGGAATGCATTATTATATTACGGTGTTTCACCGCGCCGTGACCGGAGAAGCGCCGCGGGCAAACTGGAAGGTACACGGGATTTACGCAGCCTGCTTCATCGTGATATGCGGATTGGGCCGGGCCGAGCGCCGCAAGAAGGCCTATTTGCACGGCGTCGGTGGGGATGATAGTAAGAAAAGCTAAGGTTGAGGTGTTTTCTGTGATTTCAATTCTCACAGGGGGTCCTTTGGATAATTCGTTAAATTTCTTATAGCTGTCCTGGTTGGGAGAATCCCCTTGGATCTAGCATAGGGTATTTATTTATTTAACTATTTGTATTGGAGAGAGTGATAAATTATGAATGTAATTCCAAAATAAATTCTAAATGTTTGAATAAAGAGTAGAATAATAGAGAGCAATGTGGAACATAAATAATATATATTTTATGGAGACACCACATCAAATATTTATCTGATTATGTGGGGTGCTACATGAATCATTTTTCTTTATTGTGTTATGTTAAGAGTCAAATTCTTATTTAAATTTAATAAAGAAATGTCATTTTTAATATTTTCAAGCTAAATTTTTTAAAATTTATCGTTACCTTTTTAAACATAAGCCAATTCGAATACATCAACTCTCTTAACCAGGTCATCAGAAGGCTGCCCTTTTATGTGACGAAACAATCAAAGGCGACTATCTAATCTTATCTTCCACTAAAGCTACTCCAACCTTTTCACGTATATATTTATTTCGTATCTTGTCTCTAAGAGTAAAGTCACTCATCCATCGAGCATCCTCATCTCTGTAACACTTAAATTAATATTTTGCTTCTCTTTTAATGGTCAACATTATGCACCATAAAGCATTGCATGTCTCACCACCATCTTATAGAATTTTCCCTTAACTTTGAGGGGAACTTTTCTATCACACAACATGCCCAATGCATTCCTCTACTTCAACTATTCAACTTGAATTCTATTAATAATATCCCAATTTGTTTCACTATCTAAACAATAGACCCAATATATATATATATATATATATATTCGATTTTACATATACTCAAGTGAAACCTTTATATTCTAAGGTTGACCGGCCTCCATATTTCAAGTTTATCTTCAATCGCCTCATTCATCTTATCAACAAGAAGAATATCATCAGCAAAAAGCATACACTAGGATACAAACCTCTTACAAATGTCAAGTGTGAACATCTATGACTAGAGCAAAAAGATATGGTCCTAAGGTTGATCTCAAATGTAATCCAACTGAAATATGAAAATACTTGGTTGTCTTGTGTTTGAGCATAATTAACAACTCGTGCACATATCCTTAATGGCTTGAATATAAGCATTATAAACCCCTTTTTTTCTAGAACTCTCCATGGCATTTCTCACGGAACATTATTATATGCTTTCTCTAAATCAATAAATATCATATATAGATCCACCTTATTCTCTCTATACTTCTCAAAAAAACATCTCAATAAATGTATATCTTCCATAGTAGACCTACTTGGCATGAATCCAAAATAATTTTAAGAAACATTAGTATCATGTGGTAATCTATGCTCCATAACTATCCCATAGTTTTGAAGTACAACACAAAATAAATTATGAATGTAGTCCCAAAATAAATTTTAAATGCTTGAATAGAAAGTGGAATAATAAAGAGTGAGGCAGAGAAGTTGTGGATATGATGTTGTCATAAATAAGATATATTTATGGCTGAAAACACCTAAATTTTTAATCAAATTATCAATAAAATTTTGACGTTTTTTAACTCTATTGTTTATGAAATATTTTAATTTTCGCTGATTTTGATTTTTTTAGCCCGGCTTTAATGTTTATAAGCAATGGTGTTTGATTGGATGAATTACGATTATTTCTGTAGAACTTAGTTTGGGTTAGCTGTTTGTTGCTTCAATTATTTCAGTTTTCAATTAAAATAATGGTTGGTATTGCTACTTTAAATTTGAATTTTTGGTTAGTGACTAAATTAAAATCATCATATAAATGCTTATTAATTTTAAAGTTCTTACCTTAAATTTTCTTTTTCTCATAAGTTTGCTTTGTGTTTGGTTGAAATATTCAAGTAAAATCATTTCATGATAAGTTAAAACCTTGAATACTAGCTACAAGATAAGAGGCAATTTACCTTTTTTCTATTTCTGATTAGATGTGTTAGCTTTGTTGAGATAACTTTTGTAGTAGGATTCTTCTCTTAATATGATATAGAAAAAAAATGACTTTATATAACTTATAATTCACCTATTTGACTATATCCTTGAAAGTATGGTAAACATATATCACATCAAACTATATCTTGCTTGAAGACTACTAAGCATGGTTAAGGTAAATCTAAGGATTAAGACTACTTATGATCTACTTAGGGTAAAATAGATAACAAAGCCCACTCGATCAATTGAAATTTTGTGGATTGGGGTAGTATGCCCATGAATTTTAAGGCCAAACTAAAGATCAGATGACGATAACTCTTAAGGGTACATAAGGGAAGATAAAGACTTAGTCCACTGAAGTAGTTATAACCCAGTAAAATAAAGTTAACCTAATGAACTAGCGGTAAGAAATATGGTTAACAATAATGTGGTGTGGTTTATTTGGTAAAAAAATAAAAAAAAAAAGAGTAGGGAAGACACCTATAATTAAAGGTAAGACTGAGCTTGCCTAATTTGATCTAATGCTAATTAGGTAATAAAAAAAATGATTATGGCCAAGTAAACGAATATAGAAGTGGCATCGAAAATTATATATAAGTCATTTTGTCACTTTGTAGAAAAGTGATTGGAGAGAAGCTATTGAGCACAAATCTAATGACCATAAAAGTATTGTTGTGTGCTTGAACATTCACGGAGGTAGAGAGATCTAGAGTTTAATATCCCAACTTTGTCCGAAGATCCAACACACGAACATATAAGAGAGATGAGTGCAAGAGTCATATAAGACACCAAGATTTTTATATGAAAAATCATGGATGGAGTTGGAAGAATTCAATGACATAAGCATTGTTCTCAAAAGAACGTTGGCCTGTTCGTTTGGTTGGTATGACTGTAGTCGGTCGACTGAGGTAGAGGGGACAGTTGTCGGGTGATAGAGGTCAGAGGGATCATATTAGGCGGGCGATGGTGGTCGGAGGGACTGTAGTCTGCGGGCAATGGAGGTTAGAGGGATCGTAGTCGGCTGGAAACGGAGGTTGGAGGGACCGAAATCATTACACGATGGAGGTCAAATGGATTGTAGTTGAAGGACGAAGGAGGTTGGACAAAGGCTTGGATGTAGCTGCTGGATGAAGGTTCGACGACGATGGTTTAGACAGAGGTCCAACAACGACGCTCTGGTAGCGATGGTTTGCTGGTGGTGGCACTGATGAGGAGGTCATAGATTCCTTAAGCCTCCATAAGTCCCTCCATAAGTCCCCCCTAGCTACAATCGAATCAAGTGCCTTAATGATGTAATAATTAAGATATCTTAGGCTTGTTGGATTCTTCTTGTTGAGCCAATTGATTCGATTGTAAGCATGATATATTTAGATATCATTTGGTCATCCAATAAATGCTTTGGAGCTTCCAAATATATTTCAAGCTACTGATTTGGATCTATTTGGACTCCTGATTGGACTGATTTTAGTGTCGTTGGGCTCATCTCACTGAGACATTCATTTTGAGTATAATTATACTAAAATTGGAGTTCAAATGATCCCAAATTTAACTTTGGAAGTTGTCAATTTGAATATGCCTCAAGGTTCATGCTTGATCAAGGCGATTTTTGATGACATATCAAGTATGTTTATTTATGAAAAAATAGAATGCAAAATTATAAAAAAGAGTAGGTTTATAATCAAGTTAAGTAGAAGAATCATGTTTGAGAGATAATTTAAAAAGGAGAAAAAATGAAAAAAAAAAAAAAAACTATTTTCCAGATTAAAGAATGCGGGGAAGTGCTTAACGCAGAATGCGGAAAACCATTTTTCACATTCAATGGAATGTGAAAAATGATTTTCTAAATTTACTCTGCATTCTATTGAATGCGAAAAATGCTTTTCCACATTGAAGCTTTCATTTTTTTTTGTTTATTTATAAATCGTTATTTACCGGTATTATGTATTAAAGTCATTAAATTTTGTGCGTTAATTGTAAAAAAACTTTTGACTAAATAAAAAATATATAATATACCCTAAGAACATTATACCAGCTTAAAATGAAATTTAGTTTAATGTAAAAAAAACATGACCAAGTAAAATGATGCAGCGCATGACGAGGCCACTCCCACATTCCGTTATATGCAGAGCTGTCAATTTTTGACACGACCCAAAACCCGACCAGGAAAAATCCGGGTTCGCGTTCAAAAAACTGACACGATTTGCGTTACGGGTCGTGTTCGGGTTGACCCGGAAACCCGGAAATGAGTTTGCCCGTTTCTGTTGCCCGGCGTGCCCGCCCTGCCCGCGAATCAACTTGACGCATCGAGTCGAGTCCTAATCGCGTCATTGGCAACTGACGCGGTGTCGGCTCTGCTGCTCTGGCGACTGGTGCTGCGTCGTCGAGTCGCAGTCCCAATCGAGTCTCGACGTTCGCGACTTCGCGTGATGCCGCTGCTGCTGCATCGTCGCGCATCTGGGACCGAGTCGACCGACTGGCGTTGCCGTTGTGCCGCTGCGCCTCGCCGCAACGCCGCCTGCCACTGTGCCGTTGGCTGCCGCTTGCCGTTGTTGCCGTTGGCTCTACTTCGTGACCGAAAACCGCAATTTTCAAAATTTCGTGTCAGGTCGTTTTGACCCGAACCCGATCCGGGTCGGGTTTCGGATCAGGAATTGACCCGAACAACTTGTTTCGAAAGTGTGTCGCGGTGTCGGGTCAGTATTACACGATCGGGTCAAATTTGGGTCACTGACCCGACACAGACCTCGCGGACTACGAATTGACGCCGCTAGTTACTATTTATGGCAGTCCCAACCACCTTTCTATTTCAGTATCTATAGTATATTCAATAGACTTTTTTGATTTGTTAAGTTCTAACTATTTAGTGATTTTTTTAAGTTGTATTATTAGCACTAGGGAAAATATTTTACTGTGTCGGTTGGGAAACGAGGCAGTGGAATTGGCAGGGTTATTGGTTTTTAACAAAAGAATCTTGTTATTTCTTTCTTGCAATAGAAGCCGTACCTTCCATTATGCTACTGTTTTGCTAATGTCTTGCATTGGCATTTTGGTGTCTTTTGCAGGTAAGTCTCCTATTCGGATATTCAATCTGGGAGTGGCATCAGCGTGGTATCCAGAGCCGACTCCGGGTAGGATGACTGACAAAGGCAAGGAACCGGCTGCCGGGACGAAGCTCGGAGACTTGAAGCATTGTGGACGAGCCAGGCCAACATCATACGGCAATTGGATGCATTGTCGGCAGATGTACAGTGCCTCTCTATCAACATCATACGACAATAATTATTATACTATATAATATATTAGAAAGTATATTATAATATCTTTTTATTATAATATACTTTTTAATATTAAAAGATTAAAAAGTATTTTAGAAAAATTAATTAGAAAGATTAATTTAAAATTGAAATCAAATGTACATATTAGTTATAAACTTAATTTAAAAAATAATATTTCCTATTTGTAATATAACATTAGTATAAAACAATGGTTAATACTTATTTTTCTTAATTAAATGGGTGATTAATTAATTTTAATTGATTTCAATTTTACTTAATTAATATAATAAAATATTTAACTTAAGATACTACACAATGGGATATAAATTCTTTTTATAATAACTTATGAGTCACCTAATAAATATTTAAATTAATAGTTTAATAGAAATAATATATAATCTTTACTTACTCTTTTTTTTTTTTACATTATACTAAATTTCATTTTAAGCTGATATAAGAAAGATTCGGATGTAGATTCAGATGCAACTATGCTAATTGAAATTGCTAAGATATTACTAGTCATTCTTGATAAAATGTGATACTTCAGCCCGACTGGCCGGCCGCCGCCTGCCAGACTTCAGACCGACCTTCGTCAAACTACCGCTCGGCTGCCATCTGCCGGACATCCGTACGACCATCTCCAGACCTTTGACTGTCTCTCCAGATCACTGTAATTCGACCGCCTCTAAATCGAGGGATGGGTCAACCCTTGTAATTCACTCAAGCTTAGTGGAATATTTTCACCTGGGCAAGGCCCCGTGGTTCTTCCCTCTTCGGGCTTTCCACGTAAAAAAGATTTGGTGTTCTACTTCTCTCTTTCTGTTCGTGTGTTGGATATTCGTGCATCGCTAAGACAAAAAGTTTACTCACTCTACCGCCACGAATCTTTCAGACCGCAACAATTATTATTATTATAAAAACCTTGTCTCTTTTTATTATATTTGTTTTTTCTATTTTATGTAGAATCCCATTTCAAATTTCAATAATTATAAAGTATCATACTCTACCATCGTGATTGTTACATGCTAAAAAAATTAAAAATGTGAAGTATTAATTCTTTACCTTAGTGTTACACATGTTATGCACATACATAAATAAATAGGTCTCACAAATGGTGTATGATAGATAAAAATTTTACGGCTTGACCTAGCTAAAATAGTTCTCTATATAATTTGATTTTACAAATTTTGTCCTTCTCATCGCTTAAAAAAGATGAGCTTATAAATTATAAACTATTGTTCTGATTTCATATGAGAGTAGTGATAAATGTAAAAATAACAATAAAGAGTGATGAACATTATTGTTGGTTGATGGCCGGCAAAGGTAGTTTCACCATAATACGGCCGTGAAAAATATTGACATTTTTTAGTCTGACAAAAGAGAATACTGACGGTTGTTGATGATGATCCATAGTGAACGAATGATGACGGTGGTTGATGCTCAATGTAAATCAAGTGATATTGTGCTAGAATTCTTAAAATATGAGAACTTTCTCCATCTCCGTCCATTTTGAGTGTGGGAAGAAGGAATAATTATTACGTCCTCCGACCGGACGTAGAGGAACGTCCTGTCGGAGGCCAAATCGCGCCAAAAAATGAGAAATACCGAGCAATACCAAACAATAACGAGGTATACCATCACGTGAAGACCCAATACCGAGTTATACCGAGCTATACCGAGCAATACCGAGTTGTACCGAGTTTTTCCTAGGAAAAACTCGGTACAACTCGGTAACTCGGTATTGGTCTTCACAGAGCGGTATTCCTTATTATTATCAAATAATACCTAGCAATACCGAATAAAATACCGAGTTTTTTGGCAGGATTTTGCCTCCGACCGGACGTTCCTCTACGTCCTTACACCGAACCTAATAAAAGTTCGGGAAGAAGGGCTTTTTCTAGATTTTTGGCTAGACACTTTGATATTTTTGTCAAAATTCTAAACTCTACAGTACGAATTTATGCTTTGACATCCAAATAATTGAGCGAATTTATGCTTGCAGGATTCATTTCATCGATATACAATACAAGTTTTGATTGTAAATTTTCTAAAAAAGAAGTTCACATAATTTTGATGTCTATTCAATTTTTTTTTTAATTTAAATACTTGAACATTTTTAGGCATAGGATTTTTTTGGAATGATAATCAACATGCATCATTACTTCTTAGGGTAATAACTACCACAATAGGCAAAAACTAAACCGAAAGCCGATCAGGTCCACTGCATTAGAACGTCAAGGCCCAACTGGCACATAAGGATTTTTGTGGCACTTGCATGCGATTGAGCCGCATAAATCTGATGCCTCACTGCTCGTGTGGATAGCCGGGCGCCACCCAAACCGACTTGAATTCAGCCGGGACTATTTAGCGATCGGAGCTCATACAGAAGTCATACGGAGATGGCTACTGTTACTGGGAGCATCGGAGTCCTTACCCGCATCCGCTTGCCAAAAGCTAAAGGGTTCTCCAAAAGCCAGCGTACGTTCGACTGCAAGCGGTCCGCCTCCTTCGCCGCCGCTGCCATCGCCGGCACCGCGGCATCCGTCTCTGTCGAGGTCCCGGAACTAGTAAGTTCTAATCTTCTTTAGCTGCTAGTTATAGTTGCTATCTTTTTTCGCTTCCCGCCTGCAATAAATGGCAAACGTCCTATAGATTCTTCAATTAGGTGGGTGAAATCTGAATTCGTGTAGGTTGTTTAATTTTGGAATTAATCAATGTTGGTGGTGCTCGCATAATAACTGAAGTACGGGGAATGGTGGCATTAGCTTCGTGAAGATTGTTGTTATGGGTTGATTATTTAGGGAAGATATTTCGTTAGGGCTCCTTGTGGCTGTACTTTGATAACGATAGTGTGGAGACAGTGTAGTGATGGATGTTAAGAACAAGGCTTGTGATGGAACATCATGCTCTATCCTGGATGCTATTTGTGGAATTTACATGAAAATTAAGCGGTTAGAGGTGATTTTGTTAGCTTCTCAATGCCAATTTTGGAAGTGCTGCAATTGTGCTGTAAACATTTCCTTAAAGCGAGAGACGCCATAAATTTTTATTAATGGGAGCACAAATTGGTAATTTTTAAAATACTCTTAATATTTTATGAGTTGCTTTTTTTTTTCTTTTTCATTTAATAGTTAATAATGAAATAATATTTTATCTTTTAAAAATATCAATATTTATTTTTAATAAAATATTAAATTATATATTATAATAATTTTATTACACACAAATATAAGTTATCTTATTTCATTACAAACTTTTAGGTATTAGTTTTATTTAAAAAGAAATTTATAACATGCATATATATATATATATATATATATATATATATATGTGTGTGTGTGTGTGTGTGATTTATGGTTTTTAGTGATATAAAATTTAGATTTTTCTAATATATCTTTTATGAATAAAATTATGTGAAACAAAGAATCTTGATTCGAATCTCAGCGGAGGCGCATTTTGCATTTTCTTTGATGGACTAATGAGCCCCTGTCGCATCAATGAAAAATTTAAGCAATATTGTTTATTATTTTGGGCTTTCTTGATGGGCTAGTGGAGCCTCTACCCCTATGGCTCCTACTGTAGCTCCGCCCCTGCCTTGAAGTAATATTGATCCAATGTTGATTTCTTGTTATGATGGAATGTGGTGCATGAACAAGAAAATTCAACACATGTTGCACATCATAATGTTAAGGAATGAAAGTAAGTAGATAACCTTGTCGCTCATTCACCATGTTGCTTTATCTATTGATGAAAGCAGACAATTTTGTTTATGTAGTAGAAAACTGTTATGCATTCATTGTTGGCGAGGGATAAATGACAAAGTCAAGGATGTCAGCAATTCTAAGAATATGGAGGGAGAAGAAGGAGCCAAAATCAAAAGGGAAGTAGGCTATTTGATTTGATTGATTGATTGGTTGATGTTCTTATACTCCTTAATGGAGAATATTTATAATTACAAGCATTCCCTATAACTTATTAGCCACTAACATAATTCAAATTGCCTATTAAAATTATTTAAATACTAACATGTATAACCTATTACAAATCCCCTTTAGTTCTCACCTCTTCAAAACCTACCTTATCCTCAAGGTCAAGGCAATATTGCTAAAGTCATCTAAAGAATTAGAGAAAGGCTTTTGTGAATGATGGATTTGGATTAGGTAAGGTGTCAACAAGGAAGAAGAAATAATTAACTAAGGAAGAAGGCTTATAGAAGGTTAAATCCAAGCAATTCGAGGATGCTTGCATCGCCCAAAAAAACACAAGAGGAAGAATGTTGGGTGTCGATGTGGTTGGGATTAAGGCAGCGAGTTGGGAGTTGCTAGGTTAGGTGAGATTTGGGTAGATGTGATCAGATATGGATGGGTTAACAATAGTTTATGGGAGGTTGAATTGACAATATTTGGTGTAGGAGATAGGGAGATGGTGAGATTTGGTGACGACAGCTTGTAGACAACAAGATTGGGGGATTCTAGCTTGAAAACTACACGATTGGGGCATCAACGTTGGATCAGGGTTAGTAAGCGTGAGATTTGATGAGGGAAGATCTAGGAGGATGGTGGGAGTTCAGGCATGAATGTGTAAGGTAGATCTAATGTCCACCTAGGATCTATAGTGAAAGATTTTATTTCCCTTTTTCTTCTTAATATTTATTATATTGTCAATTCATTTTTATTCATTTAAAACCACGTAATGAGTACATAGATCAACAAGTAATCAAAATTTTACAACTAAAATTAATGCAAGGTAAAAGAGAATAGTATGTTGTAAATCATATAAAGAAATATATGCATCAATGTATCTATACCAATTATTTGTATCAATAATCAATCTTTAATATATCATATCTCAGTCAGTTCTATTTCATTCTTCCATCATAAATTATAATCAATCAGTTAGTCAGTCGATTTTTATCACTAAATCAATCCCATTCAGTTCACATCAATATATCAGTTCTTGTCACAATATCAATAAAAAACATTCATTATCAGTAACAGAGTTGTATCAGTAACATCATCACTAATCAATATTAATATAAAAAATCAGTAATAAGTGTCAATATCAGTATCGGTAATCAATATTAATATCAATAATAGTAGTAATTTCAGTATCAGTATCTGGCATTAAGATGAGGGTATCTTAAGTTTGCGGGTATCACGTGCAATCAATTATATAAGCGAATCAGTGTTCTTGTTATTATGACTTTTAATTAGTCTTCTCTTATGACTTCCAATCAGTAATTACGTGGATCAGTTGCCCCGATTCCTTATGACTCTCAATCAATAAATCACATGAATCAGTAGAGTATTACATGGGATAATCATATCATATATCTTATATCAATCGGTACATCATTTCACCAGTACCAGTAGTACATTCCAGTACATATCACTCATATAAGTACATTCCATTTTCAATATACTTTTTTTCCATACTCATTCACGTAAAATCTATATAAACATATTTAACCGGTGAAAATACAATAAAATCATATCAAATCGTTCAGAATGATCAAATCTATAACATATCAAAAGTTAAACGGTGAAACTTACGAGATCAAGAGATAATGCATTTTTGATAGATTTAAGAAAGATAAAATCCGTAGAAATCAAAAGCATTGAAAACAAGAGTAAAAGATTAGCCACTTATAATGAATAGAACAAAATTTGTAAGGGAACAGCGAGCAAATATGACTCAAAGACCATTCTCTCTCCTTTTTTTTCTTTTCCTCCAATTTCTTCCTGGCCAAACAATCAAGTGAGGGAGGCGGTAGGGTGAGTATGGGATATTTATAATAAAAAATATATAAAAGCACTGTTAGTGGCCTAATGCCACAACACTCTACTCTGGAATTTTTTATGTATTTTAAATAAATTCATTTCACACTTTTGGGTTGTTATGATGTATGTTCTCTTATGTTTTTTGTTTCATTTTTTTTCTCTTGAGTAACAAACTTGTTTTACTCAGACTTGACTATTGAGGATTGTCTTGTGAGTTGAGATTAAATATTTTTTCATGCCCAATGTTTTTGAGTTGTACCATCTTTTGGATATAAGGTTTTACATGGCTTTTTTGTCTTCAACCTAAAATAAGTGCTGGATCACATTTGAGGCACATCTATCTTTCCTTTAAGGGCTTAAAATATCCGTCCAACTTCTAGTGCTTTCATCTTATATAATTGTACAACTGCTTTCATTGTTAATCTAATTTCAGAATTCTACCCTGGAAAAAAATGGCAAGAGCTCTGAATATAGTGACACTCTATTCAATCTTGCATGCCCAATTTGTTACAAGCCATTTGCCAGTAGAGGCGACCCACAAGTGACTTTGTAAGTGATCAAGTTTGTGCTCAAGTGGAGTTACTGTTACTGTGAACTCTTAGTTGTTCTTAAATTTGTATGCATCTTGTGCTCATAATATAGTTTGTCATGGTTTCAGACGTTACATTATTTCGTTTATCTCACAGGGCCTCCACTATTGGGTCTGGAGTTGAATGCTATACATGCAAGAAGTTATATTTCCAGAATGAAACTTACTTGGATCTCACGATAGCAAGCGGATTGGAGGAATATTCTGAAACAATGCCAGCTGCAACAGAAATATTCAGGTGATATTCCCTTGAAGTATTACCCTAATAGTCATTATATATTTGGTTATACTGGTTACTGAAAAGTCTGAAATGAGACGACAACTGAAGCTTCCCTCGTATAAGGTAACATTTTAGTAGAGAGGTTCTGTTTTTAGACTTGTGTGCTTAAAGTGCTTCATTCCGTGGACCTATAAGTTGCATTTAGATAAATTCATTCGAGTTTTGTCACTCTCTTGTTATACGCAAAAGTTTCTATTTGAATTCTTCTCCTCTCCCCCAAGCTTATACGCCCCAAGCTTATACGATATGGAACTGAAAATTAAAAATTTGAAACATTTTTTTCTTGGAGACAGAGAGTGGCTGTTATTGCAAACTTTTTTTTTATACTTTGTTATTCTAATTAAAATACTGCTGTGCAGAAGTTGATATATTTATTAGATTTTTTAGTCCTTTAACTCGTTGACGCATTTCAGATTGCACTGCTATCCAAACAGTAATATGGAACATCCGCTTCAATATGTTTGTGTCTATTGTTCCCCATGCTCATGCCTTGTGTCCGAACATTGGCTTCATAATTATCTAATATAAGATTGAGGGCTATGATGACCTACCAGGGAGAATCCAATACTCATTGATTTAGTTATGCTTGGTTTGAGGCTATTTTGTAACCCAACATTGTGATTTGAATAATCCGGAATGTGGTCTTCGCTGATTCAATTACTAGGAGATTCCAAGCTCAAAGTACAATAGGATCTATAGGGTAAAGATAAAATCCTAAAATACTCCACTACTAAGTCTCCTATTATTTTCATGTGGCTAATTTAGCCTTAGAGTATCTCATTTTTCTAATTTAGTCCATCGACTATACAAAAATAAACCAAAAAGGTCTATGATGTAGAAATTGTGATACATAAGTGTTAAATTCAAAGAATTGGTGAGGGAAAAGACTTCTAATTTTATTACACAAAACTATCCATATTTATAGATTTATACAAGATATCTTAAATAAAGAAACAAATAATTACGGAATCATGTATAGTTTTCTTAATATAATCCTTCCTAAATCAGCCACCCGAATATGGAAGGAGGTCGACGTGGTCCAAGTGAGCCTCCCATGGATCCCCATGCTGGCCATAAGATCAAGAGGTAAGGAATGATTGGGATTTAACAGGTGAGCCTCCCACGAATTTCCTTGCTGACCGTGGAATCAATGGCCAAGGGACAACTAGGATTTAACACACTCTCCCTCAAGCTGGGGAATATAGATTTGTCATTCCCACCTTGGTAATTAGTCCTAGAGAGGTAGAGTTATCACATCCCTTGCTTCACCATAAAGTCCATCATTTGTTCAAAGCATTGGGAGGAAATTAGCTTCAAACATTGTTGTGGCAAAGGATAACGATGAAGGCTATCTCAATCAGGCATGTAAGGTAGAAGGCAGCAATGAAGGATACATTGAATAGTAGCCCTTAAGATACCAAAAATAACAATAAAGCCGCTGGTGGAACATCAAAGAAAGTGGATTAATTATCCTTTGGGTCCATCTCCCTCTTAGTTCTCAAGGGAAGACCGACAATGAAGGCACGCCAGTAAAAAAAGGAAAAAGAATATTTTTAGGGTTGCGGCAAATTTCAAGAACAGGAGCAGAAAAAAATCTTTTCAGACACACGCATGAGGAGTTCCTATGCTCGCTTCTACTTAGTCGACTCTGGATGTTGAACACAAGAGGAGCCCTCCTGCTCGATCTCTCCTCGGTCTTGGATGCACGAAGGTCCTCAAAATTCTGGCAATGAAGGTTGGGGGTGGAAACATGTATTTCTCATAATTCTGGCAATAAAGGCCGGTAGAAGGACCAAAATTCCTCAGAATTCTAATAATGAAGACTGGTGGTGGGAACCAATATTCCTTACATTTCTGACAATAAAGGCCATTGGTCGGAACCTGTATTCCTCAGAATTTCGACAATGAAGGATGGTGGTGGAACTCACGAATTAGATCTTTTTAGGCTCTAATATCATGTTAAATTCAGAGAATTGGAGAGCGAAAAGGCTTATTATTTTATTACACAAAACTATCCCTATTTATAGATCTATACAAGATATCTTAATAAAGAAACATATAATTACGGAACCATGCATAGTTGTCCAAATATAATCCTTCCTAAATTAGCCACCCAAATATGGAAGGAGATCGGTGTGGTCCAGGTGAGCATCCCACGAATCCCCATGTCAGCCATAATATCAAGAGGTAAGGAATGCCTGGGATTTAATAGGTGAGCCTCCCATGGATTTTCATGATGGCCGTAGAATCAAGAGCCAAGGGACAGTTGGGATTTAACAATAAGTGATCTCAATTTAATCCATCCACTACAAAAAAATTAGTCTAAATGTAGTCCCTAAGGGACCATTTAAGATCAATTTTATATGGCCGAGTAACTAAATTAGATAAATGTGATACTCTGAGATTAAATGGGCCGCATATGATAGTCGAAGGACCATTTTGGAATATAACTCGGTAAATATGAAATACAAAAGTATATTTCAATTAAGCTATGCTATTCTTGTAGTAATGCTATCACCCCTTTATGCCACTATTTCTCCCCTTGCACTCTGTATCTTTCATCTTCTCCTCTACCTGAAATCACTAGCTCCTCGATTTCATTTCCCCGTCTTCTTTCAAATCCTCCATGAAAGAACCTTCTTTTTATTGTCCCTAATCTATTGTTTTTAGAGTGAACGTGCATAACTTTCTTTATCTACATTGTCCAATTAAATATTAATCTTTTGACTTCCTCCTCTCCTTTTGTTGTTTCAAATATTAGTTTTGATCCTTTAGTAGACGGAAGTGCAAGAATAAGATTGTCGAAAACGTGGCTTCAATATTTAATCAATTGAATTAGTTAGTACCAAGAAATTAATGTAATATTAAGATTGGAGTGGATGAGGGCATCAGCCAGAGATTTTGACATGTGTACCATCGATGGAATCGTAGATCGACAGCTACGATTCAGAGCCTTTACTTTTGATATATTTGATGTTTTGTTTATTTTGCATTTCAATTTTCCTAGTTACCCCTATGGGTAGTGAGTTCTTATTGTTGCCCCAAGGACAATTGAGTCTTTATTCTTTTCTTTATTATTGAGGCCTATATATAAAGGTTTTTTTGCTTTGTATGAAGTTAATGATGATTAATAAAAATTTCATATTTCTATCTCCTATTTTCTTGTGAGTTTTGAGATGGTGGTGAAGCCTAGGTGATGCAAGCTAAAAATTAGGAAAACCCCTAATTTTTTGCAAGCAAAAACAAAAGCTTCCTATGAAAATTATGGGAACTAGAAGGCCAAAAGTTCAGTCCAGAAACAACATCCAAACAGCCATAAAGGGGGCCTGCATTCAATCCAAAACAACACCCGAAAAGGTAACACAAAGAACCGAGCAAAGCAGCAACGGGATAAGCATCCAGGGAAGGAACCGAAGGGGCAAAAAGGGGACCGGAATCAGCTCCCAGCAAGGGAATCAGAACAACAGATAGGGGACCGGAACAGGCACCACAAGGGGAACCAGAATATGCAAACCAGGGGGGAAACCGAAGGTCAAACAAGGGGGTTGCATCCAGAAATTCCCACAACAATACCTTCCCAAACACCAAACATCAATACACAATAATGGGCCAAGCCCAATAAGCCAAAATCAGCCCATAAATTAAATGCCCAATCAGAATTTGGATAAAAAATTCAATCAAACCCCCCTTGCCTACATCACTAGGAGAGGCTAACGAAATACCCAACAGCCCCCATTGGTGGGCTCTTGGTTTTCCCTTGTTTATCTTCTTCCTCGTCCCTCTTCCCCTCCTAAACCCACCGGCTAAACCCTCCCCATCCTCCCAAACTGACGGCATCCTCCCCTCCCCTTCTCCTCCATCGGCGGCTTCCCATGCCTAGGCTCAACCCGCCAAAACCCACCTCCCTTACTCGACCCTCCGACCTTCCATGGCCCCCTAGCCGCCGAGCCACCCCTCTAAAGACCTCCATAAATTTTGAATTTCAAAATTCAAACCCTCATTTACTTTCCTAAAATATCCCGAGGCAATTAGGAAAGATCCTTTATTTGAATTCAATTGACTTTTGAATTCAAATACTTTCCTCAATTACAAATTCTAATTTTGGAAAGTTCCTAAATCTAAGTCTAATTTAAATTTAAATTTGATTTGATTTAATGTTCTACTTCCTAAATTAAATATCTTGCTTTGAAAACTTTTAATTCCTCCCCAAAATCCCCTCCCTCTCTCTACATGCCGCCGGCCCCCTTGCCCTTGCCGCCTCTCCCTCCTATTAAATCCCTCTTATTCTCTTTCCAATTTGCTCATTAACTCCTAAACGGGGGAGACATCAGGAGACATCGGGAGATTGCCAAAATTCAGACTACTGGGAATAGAACTTAAGCAAATTTACAGGGAAAAGATCTTGAATTGAATATCTAAAATGGAAAATGCAATCAAATAACAATGACGAGCATAATAATAAAACTCGATGATAACCCACTAACAAGCAGTTACGAAGGACTTGTGATAAACATGACTTGCCTACAGACATGTATAAGGCACGAACATTGAATACCTAGCCTATAGACAAGAATGGTAGACTTGAAACAAGTAGGCTAACTTGATTGTGGGCATATGCAGAGTTCTTGTAACATACATGACAACCCACTTGTGAGTAAGAATAAGGACATACAAATAAATGTGGTGGCTTGCTAACTAGAGTACATAAGGAAATTGTGGTGAATACGACCCTCCTACAATTGATAGTAATCAATTTGAAAATGTACAAATTAGTCCCTCGAGGTCGACATGCAATGAAGTGTTAACCAAGATGTATTTGAAGGGTTTGAAACAAGTATAGCTTGTATATAACTAAGGTCACCTGACTGCAATCAGTGATGATGAATATGCTGCAAATGTGATTGGTCTTTTGCAAATACAGATACACATTCAACATCAGACAACTTATGGATGAATACATTAACCTGCTTGCTAGCAATGATAGCAGATGAGCTATGAATGTAACAATAGCCCTACGCTCAATAATCAGCTAGCTTGCAAATACGCACAACATCTCCTACAAATAGAAAAATATACAAGTGAATGTAGCAATTTGTTGATCAATATGCAAACGAATATACCGGCTTCCTATAAACACAAGGGAGCCATCATACAAGTGGATACATCAACCTGCTGACTGACGTGCATGGAGAAATTAGTGGTGAATGTAGTTCACCCGATGGCCTACATCAATACACAAATAAACATGCTACAATACATTTGTAAGTAGAAGCAGATAATTTGTAGTAAAAATTGCGGGCCACTCGTAAATTGAGGCAGTAGATTTGCGGTGCCAAATTATCATGCCGTATATATTAGTTTACTTGCAAATGATAAATGGAAGACTCCTGATGCACCAAAAATGCACTCCTGCAGGTTGAATTTTGACGGAGATAACAACATGTAGAAGAAAAATGTGCAAAACCACACTACATATTTGCAACAAAGGAAGCTCAATGTGCAGTTAAACCATGCCACCGAATCTGCAGCATATATATATAAGAAGACAGAAGGCGTTTATAAATTCCCAAATGAAACCCAGCTCATCTCCCAATGACAGCCATTTGCACAGCTAGTTATTGCAAAACCACCCCCCTCATGCATTGAAATGTGTGCCGACACATTCATAGCGTGCATATATTTATAATATGCAGGTATATTATGCAAATACATTATCTGACATACAAAATGCACCATGCACTGGCGACACATTACATTAACATACAAAATGCGTCATGCACATATACGCTGCAACATACAAAATGCATCATGCAAGTACACTGTATAATGTGTAAAAATGTACTATGCAGCAGCGGAGCGCTATGCTGACATGCAAATATGTCATGCACTATACGAAAGCATTGTATCATTATGCAAACATGTTATTCATGCAAATAATCTATTACTACATCAAGCTAACATGCAATATGTCAAATATTCAAGCATTATGCAAATGCATGTATTAACATACACATTTACATGCAGATATACGAATAAACTTGTGAGTATGATAACATGCATATGTAAATATAATTATGTGTGTGAATATGCAGATTTGTCATATACACATATTGCATTGCATTCATATAACTGTCATACAAACACTTCTTGCACAAGGCATACAAAAGTATATACCTGCATGGGCCCCGACGAGCATGATGTATGCGCACACGTGGCATCTAAGGATGCTACGCGGGTTAAAAAATGAATTTAAGATTGGGCCATTTCTATATGAGAGGGGATGGCGTAAAAATATTGCTCTTCAGCTTTTTTGGTTAATTCTATTTTTCTTTGCTGCATGTAATCACTCTATTTTGTTTGCTGTTGATTGGCACAGGAATCCTTTGGTGCCATTTCTATATGAGAGGGGATGGCGTCAAAGTTTTATATGGGGAGGTTTCCCTGGTCCAGAAAGAGAGGTTAGAAAGAGAACTTTTATTACTATCTGTAGTTATAAAGAGAGCTTCTATAGTGTAAATAAATCCTGCCACATATGTTTCTGTACATTGTTAAACAAGCTGATCTAATGTTTTCCATTTGTCATCTGAATCATTTTTCTCTATGGAAATTCGTTTAGTCAATAAGGTAACATCAAATTTTAACGTGATATGGTTCTTCCAACAGTTTTTAATTGTTGGTTATTGTGAAATTTTCCTATACCTGGTTTAGATTTCATGATATTATATGTAAACTGTTTTTCTGGCTCTTTCCATGCGAGACAGTTTAAAATGGCCCAAAATTACCTTAAGCCTGCCACTGGAGGAACTATTATAGATGCAAGCTGTGGGAGTGGATTATTCTCAAGGCTATTTGCCAGAAGTGGACTGTATTCCCATGTAGTTGCTTTGGACTTCTCCGAGAATATGCTGCGACAGTGCCATGAATACATTAAACAAGAGAACATACCAAAAGAGTTTGTTTCCCATTTTCTTCTCTTTATTAGTAGCTCTCTTTTATTTTGAAAGATGTTCATTTTCATTCATATTTATGATTCATAGAGAGAGATGCTGAATTGAGGTTCGGCATTTGATGGTTGGCCTACTCTGAAACTCTGATATCATATTTAATTGTCTTCCAGGAACTTAATCTTGGTCCGGGCTGATATCTCCAGGCTTCCTTTTGTTTCAAATTCCATAGATGGGGTGCATGCGGGTGCTGCATTGCATTGCTGGCCATCACCTTCTGCTTCTGTGAGTATTTACTACCTTTGTCTGCCGATGACATTGAGTAAAAAACTAATATACTTGGCCTATAGTGGTAGATAATTTCCATTTCTTATATACATTATAAAAATTACTTAAAAAGAACCAAAATAATAAAATAAGTTTCTTAAATTCCTGAAACCCATGATTATGTTCCTCAACTGTGTACTATTTAAAAACTATGCTTTGTTTAACTTTTGATATCCGTCATTTAGGTCGAAGTAAACTTATTGGGTAATCTAATTTAAATTGATCATGTTCTAGGTAGCAGAGATAAGCCGGATTCTTCGCCCTGGCGGCATTTTTGTGGCCACGACTTTCATTTATGATTTTATTACAGTTCCAGTCTTCAGGGCATTAAGAGAGGTAGAAGCTTTTGTTCTGATTCTATATTGTATGAGTTATTGCAATTCTTTAGATGGTTCTTCTTTTCAAAATTAAATATTAGGTTGGATTTCATAGAAACTGTCCTAATTATTAATAAATTTAATTCAAGAACATCAATTTTTATAGGTTAAAACGAGAAAGTAGTGGTGGTTTAAATGAGAGCCCTGCCATGTTATTCCACACATGTTTAGTAACTTCATCATCACTGGTGGAAGCAGGAGCAACTACAATAATCTGATTTAATTGATTAGTCCGCTCTGCCACGCCATCTCTTTGTTAGCCTCCTATTAAGATTGAGACTCTCATAGGAGGGAAATTGGCAATAATGTTTTTTGCACGTTGTTGTTTACCAGTATCAGTACCATACCATCATTTTTTGTTAAGATCTGTGGAGTATAATTTTCCTAAAATATTTTATGATCAAATTTATAAAATCAGATATCTTAAAGTCCCTAAATTTGGAATTTATTCTATTTAGATTTTTTTAATTAAGTGTAAACAATTATTAACCTGCCATAATTTAGCTCGTTGTTTCCCAATTAGGGGTGCAAACGAGTTGAGTCGAGCTTGAGTTAGGCCTAACATCGAGCTCGACTCACAAGCCAAATTCCGAGCTTGAACTCGAGTCGAGCTGAAAAGCCGAGCTTGAGCTCGACTCGTTCCATTAAAAACTGCTCTTCGAGCGGCTCAATTACCCGGTTCAAGCTCCAATTTTGTTACCGTGGCCCGCCCCCGATTTTGCCCCACGACTCCGCCTTACGCATCAGAGCTCGCATCCAAGCCCTCTTGCACCGCGATTCTGCCTTCCAAGCTTGCGTGCCCTACAATTACGTCGTTTGAGCCTGCCCGCCCTGCGATTATGTCGTCTGAGCCCGCCCGCTCCGTTATTCCGCCGTTTGAGCCCGCGTCCGAGCCCTCTTTTCAAGTCTGAGTTGCCCCTGCATTTCCACCGTTTGGATGCAAGCTGCTCGATGAGTAATCAAGTCAAGCATCTAAAGGATCGAACTTGAGCGCAATATGCCAACGAGCTTAAAAATTCTGCTCGAGCTCTAAACTCGATAAGTTCTGCTCGCGAGCTAGTTAATGAGTCGAGTCGAAACTAGCCCGTGAGTCTGTGACACCCCTATTTTCCAATTATCCACCTCTATCACCTATTATTTCTTATAAAAGAATGGTACAAGGTCTGCTATGTATGATCCCAACTTCTTCCTTTTGATGGCTAGGAACAAGTGCTAGAGGATTGAGCTGGCTACCTTAATGAAGTGCTCGAGTCCAATGGAGTGGTTGTAGTAGCATGCGTATCATATATAGGAGGAAGGCAAAGATCAAAGACTGGAAGACTTTGATAGCTACTCTTAGCCTGAGAAGGGCTTGCACAGGTTGTCATCTTCAGCAACGAGGTAGTGGGTCTATGTGCTTGGAAACTGTTGTTGGAAGTCTTCAACAATGCCTCTTGATTTGTTAATTTAAGGTTTATGTTGAGGTGTCATGCATGTTTGTGGTTGCCCATGCGGTTAGGCTGACCGGCAGCCTTTAATTCAGGGGGCCATGAAGTTGGGTGATGAGGGTCAATGCCAAGCAATAGTTCCCCGTGAAATTAAAGTCAAGCACTTTATGGATAAATAAAATAACACTATGGTTGGTATTTGAACATGAAGATATGACAAGATATTATAATATATTGATTGGGTTGGAGGGAGGGCTAAGCAAAGTGGTGTGGGAGGTGTACAATGGGAGGAATGTGGTGGAGGGTTGATTGATGGTCATCCTTGGCAGTTGGAGCTTGTAGAGGGGATTGTTCATACGTATTATGATGAAGGAGAGTGAAGCTGAGAGCAACCTTAGGTCTTAGCAATATTTATGAATGGCTAGGGAGTGAGTTATGCCATGGAATGGAAGGTCTAGGGTAAGCTGAGAAGGTGAAGTTGGGATCTGAAAGTTGATTGGAATTAGGTGATGTGTGTTAGAGCTTGTGACGACCATGAGTAGTAATTTATGGTTTGGAGATGGTGGATAGGACCGAGGGAGCTATTCTTGTTGTTTGGTGGAATGGATGAAGGGGAATGGCGGGAATTGATTTGGGAGTGAAGCAGAATACTAAGGAAATAAATTTTATAGAGAAAAATTAAAAAAAAATGCTTGCTTGTCACTGAAATACTAAGATTGAAAGTCACCAAGCCTTCAATCATGAATCTACCATCAAGCAATCTTCAAGTGAAGAATCTTTCTCATGGTTCTTCATTCATCAAAACAAATCTATTACAAAGGGTTTCTTCTATTTTAAACAATAACTCACAAAATGAAATAAAATCTTTTTGGATAGAGGTTTTCTTCTATTTTAAACACTAGTTCATAACGAGAAATAAACTCCTCTTTGTGGGGGAGGTTTCTAGGTTGATTCTCCACGGAATGGGAGAAGAGATTTTTGAAACATGGAGGTTTCGTACTTATGTCACAGGAGTGGTGGGGGCCATGGTTGGAGGCTAAAATTCATTGATTTGGTTTTATTTGGGCGTTCCTAACTGAGTTCCATGCTCATTGGGTCGAGTTCTCTTGGTTGGGATCATGGTCCTAAGGGAGTAGGTAGACTTGGTCTTCATGCTTGGCCGATCCTTGCTTTATTGAACTCCATGACCTAATTTGGTTTATGTTTGCTTATATAACCATTCAAAAGAAATGTTAGAAGCCTTTATATCATACTCACTCTTCCTTGGGCCATCCATACAAGAAAATCATAAATGCTTGAAAAATGAAAAAAGGGAAATTGTTCATGCATAGAGTATATACAAGAAATAAACCTAATAATTGATGAGTTCCTAACGTATTTGTTTTATCAACTTTGTAACCTACAAAATATGCATAAAATTTTCCAAGATGGTCACAAGAAATTGTGTTCCTTGGGTGTCTCAAACCAAAGTTATGTGCGAAAATAATAAATCTAAAAATTCTCTTAAAAACAATCAAATAGGACTCCTTAGGATCAAATTGAAGGTAACTGAAGATGCATAAACTATCCATGTAATTGAAGGATTTAATAGGCTGAAAGGTCTTATTTTCTCCAATTGTAAGGGTGAACTTGAAGCGCTCAAGGGGATTAAGCTTTATAATTAGAGGATTACTAGCTTAATCTGAAATTTAGGTGCATTGATGGATAGTCCCTAGCCATGTTTGAATGAGTTTTGATCCGTGGGAGGGCCTTTGATTGAAAATTAGAATGAGTCCATAGATCTTGGATTAGCCATGACTTGAGCTTGCAAAATTCATGGATCCAAGGTGCACCAAATGGTCGTGATGGCTCTCAAAGGTTGCTGTGAGGTCATCTTAATAAGTTGAGGGCTTTCCTTGGCCCAATTTGGGTCATGAATCCAATTATAGGGTTTTGGCAAGATTTATGTTAGCTAAGGTTATGGGAGTAGCCATTTTAGTCAACTTAACCACCTCGGTATTGAGCTAGATCTTAGGAAGGTTAATGGCTCATTCAATTGAGCTTAGGTTGAGTCAATTTGAACTAATTGAGTCAATGGATCAAACGGGTTAATTTGGGTCAAACTACACAAGCTTAGATCAAGTTTAGTTATATAAGATTTGGTCTATGCCCTCTGGAGGATTTGGGTTAATCCAATTTATTGCAATATGGTATAGCTAGGTCATTTCGGCTTGGAATCTTCATAAGGTTAACCTACGAGTTTCATGATTGATTATGGTTTTAAGAGATTTTGCTTAGTAATTTGGGGATTTTAAGATAGGCTAGTGCTTTCTAGATACCTATGAGTTTCAAGGCAATTCAGGGGGTTACATGGTCCAATTCTAGTTATGGCTTCTAAGATTCATTAGGATTTAAGTAGGGCACAACCAATTAGCTAAGGAAGATAGATCTCTAAGACTTTAAGGTGCCAGGATTTTGTATACTAATGTTGAGGTTTAATCTATCCCGAAAGGGAGGTCAATGGTGATATTGGCACTCTCCAACATATATGATAAGCTATCTACAGCTGACAAGTTATATTTAATTCCTTCAGTTTTTCAATCTCAAGATGTTAGAAGGTACTTCAATTATAGATTTTTAGGGTCAACTTAATCAAGAGATAGTTGAACTCCATGAACATAAAATTTGATGATAAGATCCATTTTTTAAATTTACTTTCATTTTTAATCAAAAGATGAGATGTTGTTATGATGGCCATTAACAGTTTCATGATTATCCGCATGAGTCCTAGCAACATCAGATATATTATTCTTAGTGAAGACATTAGATGATGCAAAAAAGGTGAATGTATATTATATTTTGTTTTAAATATTACAGTAAGAGAAAGTCATAGAATAATAGCAACAATGGAGGCAGAGGTAGATCCAAGTCTCAGTAGTTGGACAAATCAAAAGGTCCCAACAATGCATGTTTGCATGACTAGCCATATGAAAAGGGATTTGTTCAAATGGCAAGGGAGAACATAGTTTAAAACAAAGGAGAACTCTATGGAGATTTACATTGGAGAGATCTATGGTGCGCTGGTCCTTTAGTACAAGGTTGTTGCAATGGCGTGGGATGAGATCACAGGCAACTGGGATGTAGTCAAGGATCTGTGGTCACAAGATTTAAGCTTCGTTTGAGACGGTTTTCTTATTATTTCTTAACACAGTGTTGTAGTACAATTTTTTTTTATAAGAAAACTGTTTTAAGAAGCAGTAAGAAAACCATCCCAAACGAAATCTTAGATAACATTTTTAGTCGGAGAAGAGTTCGCAGCTGGTTCCAAGGAAGCAGAGGTCTTTATGCTTGACAAAGGTTTTTGGTGGTCTTTGATAGTGTCTCTCACTTTTCCATCTAGTGTTGTGATGTTGAGATGTTACTAGCGTTGGTGACCAACGATGTAAAGATTGTTATTAGGTTGGTCTGCTCTCTCTTATGTAGGAGGCTATGAGGTCAGCGAGTAGGTTCGGTGCTATCAACACCAAGGCATTTTGCTATCAACACCAAGGCATTTTGCTCTACTAGACGAAGAAATGCCATTATGGATGGTGCCTAAATAGGAAGTTGAAATAAGATATTATAATACAATATATTTATACATTACACTATAGTTGTTTTGCTTTGTCCTTTGGCTTGCGGTGAAATATAAAAGACAATTGAAGTCTCAATTGAGGGAGAAATTATTCTGTGCGGACATCGAATGTAGTTTACCATCCGGAGACCAACCAGAATGCGCAACGCCAGCAGTATCGAGCCGGGTACCGAGCAGGGGTTGATGTGGCACATTCTGGTTGGTCTCTAGACGGCGTTCGGCGTCCGCACAGAATAATTTCTCCAATTGAGGACAGGAGAAGGTGATGGTAATATTCAAAGAGAAATGAAGGGAGGTTGATAATGGGATAGAGTAAAAATATTTAGCGCACATATATCATGTAACTCATCTCTAGATTAGTGAAATTTTTTTCTCTCAATACAGTCGTGGACATAAATGCATTTCACCAAATCACAACTCTCCTGTGTCCTATTTTTCTGTTGTCTTCTTCTAAGGCATCTATTATTCACTTTGTCCATCGAAGTTATCATCATTGCTCAGATAAACTTTTCCTAACAAATTCAGCAAATAAACTCCATTGATCGCTTCATCTATAATGTTCATCCATTACTCTTCACTCATTCTCTTGCGCATTTTTCTTTTCAGTTCTACATCCGGGCTACAAGCAACCACTTGTATATTTCAGAAAGAGAACTGGAGGATCTCTGCAGAGCATGTGGCCTGGTTGGCTTTAAATGTGTGAGGAACGGACCATTTGTGATGATCTCTGCATCCAAACCTGTTTGTTGAACTTCCAAGTCTCAAACTAATGGCAGTGCAGCTATCAGCTCATCTTGTCTAAATCCAGGTTTTGAACAGTTTTTACCATTTTTCTCTCTACAGTGGAAAATTATTTCATGAAAGAAATAAAGCATAGAATAAATATTATGATAGAAAGGGAAAATACTGTGATAATTGTTTCAGAAGCGAATGTGAATTCCAAAATCAACTAAAGCTTTGTTTGGTACGACTTTATTTCTGCTTCTTAAAACATTGTTTTGTAGTAGAATACTATTTTAAGAAGCAGTAAGAAAATCGTCCCAAACGAAGCCTAATTGTACAAATTTGTTTATTTTGTGCTTGAATTGTTATTAGAGATTATAGAGTACTAATTGTCCACCTTGTTAATTGTTTTGTTTGGAACAATTCTATCATTTGGCGAGAAACTATTATGTGTAGACATTAGACCGTCCGGAGGCGAATCAGAATGCGCTACATCACCCAGTACATAGCAGTACGTAGCCGCGGTACACAGTAAATAGGTGATGTAGTGCATTCTGATTCGTCTCCAGATGATCCGATGACCGCACATAATAATTTTCCAAATTGGCATCTATTATATTGAGGTTTTGTTTTAACTGTCGACAATAGTGAGAGATTATTATCAATTTCAAATTCGTTAATATACTGCACATTATTTCTTTAATTTATTAATTCTAAAACTCTAATATTAAATGTTTAAGTCATTGATAATTAGCTTCTTAATCATTGCTGTCAAGATAATTATCCCATTATAAGTCTATTAAAAAAATATTATATAAATTCAGCTGGATAATTCTCATGTGATAATTAAAATGAAGAATTATCTCATATAAGAATTATAAATAAATAAATAAAAACATATTTTAAATATTTAGAAGTGAATTTTTGTACTGCAGTTTAGCTGATTATATAAAAATATGTATGTTTGAAAAAAAGAAAAGGAAATACTATGATGCTATGTATCTTAAAGGGATGATTAGAATACAATCACCAAAATAGTCTAAGAAGGTTGAGTTTGTAAGATTGAGAATAGAAAAAATTAATAAATAAAATTACTATTAAATTATGAGGGAGAAAAAATTGCAATCATTATGTCATATAAAACTCTAAAGATGAAAGTAAGTATAAGAGGTGAAGCCCTTCCCAATAGGACTGCAAACGAATCGAGCCGAACCGAGTATGTGAGTGTTCATGTTTGTATTCATTTAATATCAGCTTGTTCAAGTTTGGTTCATGTTTGTTCGAGCTTTATTGTTTGTGTTCATGTTTGGTTCATTTAAATTAATGAGTGTTCATGTTCATTCGTTTAGTGCTTATCGAGCTTGTTCGCAAACATATTTAACGATTTTTTTTAACTATCAAACAAATACGTTCATGAACATATCTATGAACAAACACATTTATAATAAAAGCAATTGTTTATGTATCAAAGGCAATGATTATTTATATATATTAATTTTATAGTCAAATATTAATTATTTTTATCTAGCTTATTCACAAGTTCAAAATCGAACACGAATCAAGCTTTTATCGAGCTTCTTATCGAGCTTAATGTCGAGCTTGTTCACGAACTTCAAATGATGTTGTTCGCGAACATAAATGAGCCGAACACATTAGTGTTCAAGTTTGTTTATTTAAGAATCGAGTATTTAAAATATTGTTCAAGTTTGTTTGTTTAGCTAATTAAACGATCACAAATGAGCTTTAATCGAACCGAACAACGAGTAGCTCGTCGAACGTTTAGTTCGCTTGCAGCCCTACTACCCAAGTATGGAAGTGGGGTACTCTTCTCATCATTCAACTTAGGTTTTGTTTGGAATAATTTATGATCATTATTTTTTTTATTTTTTTTTAAATAGTAAAAATTTGTCCCAAACGAAGTCTTAATTTTGCCTTAAGAATCACTTCTATAACTTAGAATTATAATATTCTATTTAAAATAAATAAATTATATCTTTATTATAGCTAATAATTAGAGTACCTTTTTTTTTGGAGATTTAGGCTTCATTTGGGACAATTTTTTTATATTTTCTAAAATAACTTTTTAGTATAAAAGTTCTTTTATTTTAAAAAAATTATACTAAAAACTACTTTAAAAAACAGTAATAAAGCTGTTCCAAACGAAGTCTTAGCCATCTTCACTTATTTTATAAACACATTGGATTTATTTTTACAAGAGCATTATGAAAGTGGGAGAAAGAGGGTATTGAGAGAAAGAAACAATTATTACGTCCTCCGACCGGACGTAGAGGAACGTCCGGTCGGAGGCCAAATCGAGCCAAAAAACGAGAAATACCGAGCAATACCAAACAATAACGAGGAATACCATCACGTGAAGACCCAATACCGAGTTATACCGAGCTATACCGAGCAATACCGAGTTATACAAAAGTTGTACCGAGTTTTTCCTAGAAAAAACTCGGTACAACTCGGTATTGCTCGGTATTGGTCTTCACATAGCGGTATTCCTCATTATTATCAAATAATGCCTAGCAATACCGAGTTATACAAAAGTTGTACCGAGTTTTTCCTAGAAAAAACTCGGTACAACTCGGTATAACTCGGTATTGGTCTTCACAGAGCGGTATTCCTCGTTATTATCAAATAATATCTAGCAATACCGAGCAAATACCGAGTTTTTTGGAGGGATTTTGCCTCCGACCGTACGTTCCTCTACGTCCTTACACCGGACCTAATAAAAGTTCGAGAGAAAGGGGGTAAAGAAGAATTATAGATAGGCTGGACAAGTAAGAACCATGTTGGGTTCTGACTGGACAAGTCAGACCCATGTAACCGTATTGATCATTTTGGGTCGACCATATATTTTCTTACTGCTATTTACATGATGAAATGTCACATTCTCTTCACCACCTTTAAAAATGAATTATTTATTCTATACTTCAATGGTTATAGTTTTTTATTTTGAAAAATATTTGTATTGTACGTTTTTATCATTGATAGTTTTAATAATCATATATATTATCTATTTTCATTATTTATTGCTAATCAAAAATAAATTTGAATATCCGACCAATACAAAAAGGCTCCTCCATCTTTGTGAAAAACTTTAATACTAAAAAACGCAACATCAACATTCAATCTAAGAAGAAAAATATCAATATATATTTTATAAGGGCACTTATTGTAAATTATAATCTTTCTCATCAAACGCATCAAATTTTGATGAACAATAAAAAATTATGAGATCGATAAAAAAATGAGCAAGCAAGCAAGGTTTAAATGTATTGAGACTTAGGCAAAAGCCAAGAAATTCTAAACTAAGGTTTCATTTGGGACGACTTTTTTATTGCTTCTTAAAGTAGTTTTTTAGTACAAAAATTAAAAATGTTGTACTAGAAAGCGGCTTTAAGATAGTAAGAAAGCCGTCCCAAATGAAGCTTAAGGCTTCGTTTGGGACGGCTTTTTTATTGTTTTCTAAAACGGAGTATTAGTACAAATTTTTTTATTTTTGAACTAAAACTCTGTTTTAGAAAGCAATAAAAAAGCCGTCCCAAACGATGCCTAAGACAAGGATTAGGTGGACAGAGCAAACATATTATATATTGTGCATGCAATGCATAACTTAAGCTAAAAAATTGGTATGAATTTGTTGAAATATTTTATGATTATTATTATTAGCATTCAACTGAGCTAAGCCACGATTTTCATAAGATAGTTAAGAGCTTGTTTAGTATATTAACAATCAATGGTCAACAAAAGATGGCAAGTTACGATAAAACAAAGGTTTCGTTTGGTACAAATTTTTGTTGATTTCTAAAATAATTTTTTTAAAACCCCTAAAATAAAAAGAAGCTAAACTCTTAAACATTAAGATGCCTTTTGGTGTAACGGTTGAAATTTCATTATGAAACTTCTTAGTCAAGTGTGCTCATGGGATAGCGACCTCCTGGCAAGTTACACAAACATGACAAAATCATAAGGTCTTTACCTTGATAGTTAAGAGTTTGAGCTATTACAACTTTTTAGTATAAAACATTTAGAAGTGATACGTCATGCAAAAATTATCTTGATAGGGCATGAATCTCGAGGCAAAAATCAAGTTGGAAAGTTCAAAAATTAAATCCGGGAGCACCTGAACTCCGATTTCAGCGATCTCACAGTCAAACTGAGCGTCTCAGAAATACGAACCCAACGACACCAAACTCAACTCAATCTGAGCCCAAATGAGCCCAAATCGAGCACCCGAAGCGCTGTTGGAAAGTTCATACCACAATTTGAGTTGTCAAACGGTCTCCGATTTTGACGAGCTTATAGTCAAATCAAGCGATCGACGAGACAAATCCAACAAGCCCAAGATCGTCAAATTCCAACATCATTAAGGCCTTCAAATGTCTGACGAATGGCGTACGATCAAATGATTCAATATCAGCTGTCCATTCGACCACTCCTTATTTGCCCTTGATCTCACGCATATTTATGAGCTATGTCACTCCAGAAAAACTATAAATAGAGCCCTCATTTCTCATGAGAGGGGACTCAAGCGAGAAGAAGGAAGAAGAAGAAGAGTAGGGGAAGGAGAATCAGCTCCTCCTCGGCCACCGCCGGAGTTCCTTCCGCCTCCTGAATAACGCCGGAATTCTGCTGGATATTCAGGGGACGTCGGAACTTTGCACAACTTTGTAACTGAATTTCAATTCAAAAGAAACTCATTGTAATATGATCGTCCTAACTTGTGGGACGAATCAGCCTCTTATATCTCAAACGACACTAATGGAACTTTTCAACTAGGCGTGGCCCCGTAGTTTTTCCCCTTTTCAGGGTTTTCCACGTAAAAATCCTGGTGTTTTTTTATTTTATGTTTGTGTGTGCTAGATATCCGTGCAACGCTCAGACGAAAATTTTCTAACTCTACCGCCGCGTATATTCTAGCCCGCAACAAGAATCAGTAAGAAAATCATTCCAAAGGAAGCCTAAATGCATAAGCAATCTCTATCAATTAGTATTGAGTTTAAAATATTTGATGCAAAGTTGCAAACCTTGCTAATTATTACTTCTGACTATTAAATTGCTAATTTAATTTACTTTATATACTACTTCATAGGATTGAGAATAATGGGCCAGATCCCCTCTGTCATGCATCAATTTTTTTTATTTGTTCATCATATTATAATAATTAGTTAATTGAATATATTCTAATCAATCATTAGCTCAAGAAAAAATCAATCAATTTGAAGAACTTATACCCAACAACTATATAAGACCATCCTTTCATTTTTTTATTTGCATGAGAAAAATTTGTTCCTTTTAATAATGAATGGTTTATTCTATACTTTAGTAATTATAGATTTTTTTATTTTTTATTTGGAAAATATTTGTATTGTTTTTGTCTTTGATAGTTTTAATAT